AATGATTTCACTCATATGTGGAGTGTAAGAACAAAAGAAAACTGAAGGAACAAAACAGCAGCAGAAGCACAGAACCCAAGAATGGACTAACAGTTACCAAAGGGAAAGGGACTGGGGAGGACGGGTGGGAAGGGAGGGATAAGGGCAAGAAAAAAGAAAGGGGGCATTACGATTAACATGTATAGTGTGTCGGGGGGGGCACGGGGAGGGCTGTGCAACACAGAGAAGACAAGTAGTGATTTTATAGCATCTTACTATGTTGATGGACAGTGACTATGAATGGGTATGTGGGGCGGACTTGGTGAGGTGGGGGAGCCTAGTGAACATAATGTCCTTCATGTAACTGTAGATTAATGATACGAAAATAAAATTTAAAAAAAAATTAGTCATAAAACAGATATTGATAAGAGCTATGACATTTCAACACTGAAACATTACTTCAAAAGAAAGTCAACTTATGATTTCAGATTAATATCTTGATGCATGATAAAACATTTTTGTCAACTAGGATATGTGAGAACATAAAGAAAAAGGCCTATGAGCAAGATACCATCTACTTCTTGTGCCCAAAATACAAGCTAAGACTGGTAATCTTGTACTTATTTTTAAGTAATACTTTAAATCTTTATTTCATTCAAAATTTATTTTGTGTATACATTAGGGCAATAGTACATCTATACAGATTAACCGTCCATATATAAACAGTCTGCGCTTTCTTCCTCCCCCACCCCCAATAGACTGATAGAGACAAACAATAGAAAACTTTGGAGATTAATGTTCTGGGTAGTACATGAAGTCAGACATTCATCCAAATTTTATGATATTCCATTTGTTTAAGTATTTCTAGATGTTAGGTTTTACCTATTTACCATTCTTTTAAGTCTTAAATTGCTTTTCATTGCTGTCCAGAATGTGGCCTATTCAAATGACTACACAGGTCTGGAACAAACTGCTCGAGAATAAAGTACTAGAAATTTCTTGCTTTAGAGTGAAGTTACTGGTTTATAATGTAAACTGGTATCAGAGACAGAATGACTCAAAGAACTGAAGCTGTAATGACTAAGCTGATGTAATGAGACATCAGGAAACTTCAGGAGATGATACCAAAATCCTTCAAAGATGGAGTTGAAGAAGTTATGATCAGGCCTCTTAGTATCTAAGTAGTTTCCTATAAGCTCCAACATGCAGATGATATTCTAAAGACACTAAAAGATCAAGAAAAGCAGAGTATGAAGCTAAACTAGATTTGAATTCTTTTCTTCTGAACAGTATCTTCACTGAATTAAACCTTCAGTGTTCAAGTATCATCACAGTAAAGTTTATGGAACAGTGCTAATAATGACTGTCTTAGGAACAGTTAAGTACCCCTAGCCTAACACAAAAGCCTGGCTTTGCAATGGGGGGAAGGGGCAGTTTCTTTAAATCAAATTTCCTTACAAGACCAACAAAATAATCTGGAAAATGCCTGTCCTTGACTCAACAGCATTCATTAACCAGTATTCAAGAGGGAAAATCCATCTTATAGTTGACTAGAAAATGGATGCGGTGTTATAATGAGTTAATAAGAAACACATATTTGGTCATTCATATGACCAAACTACAGTTTCTGAAAACACCGCAGTCTTAAAGGTGAAACTGGTGTTTTGTCATATTAAAGAGAGACTTTTAAACCCCACTCAAGTGTGGGGGCTGAAGGCTGAATCAATGAGTTAGTCAATCATGACTGTGCAGTGAATCCTCCCACACCCATGAGAAGAGCTCGCTCTCTGCTCTGCTGGGTTGGGCCCTTCTTCTGGGTTGGAGGGAGTTTCTATGCTTGGGGAACCAGAACACCTCCACGTGACACTAAACCAGGCCCCAAGTTCCATGAGGACAGAATCTCCAATATTTATTCAGGACCTTGCGCTGTGTCTCTCTTCATCTGGATGTTAACTTGTATCCTTTATGGTATCCTTTATTAAACTGGTAAAGTATAAGTGTTGTCCTGAGCTGCTCTAGCAAATTAATAGAAGTCCAATCAGAAGCACAGGGAACTGCTTGGGGCTCGTGACCAGTGTGTGGAGTCAGGGTGGAGGACAGTCTCATAGGATGGAGCCCTTAACCTGGGAATCTGGTGCTGTCTCTGGGCAGATAGCGTCATAATTGAGTTGTCCAACACCCTGCTTGTGTTCAAGAATTGCTTGGTGTAAATATGTGTGGGAAAACCCCCTCCCACATATTTACACACACTGGAATCAGCTCCGGGTATGTGAATCAAGTTATACTAATATTACTGCTGTGTATACATCTGTGTAGGGAAAAAGTACACCACTGAATTTGGTCTTGGACCAGTGGGAATCACTGATGCCTACAGGAAAACTGCATAAATCCTAAATTTGCATTCATGTGAAAAAACTACCTCATCGATTTTTAAAATCAGCAAATATAGAAACTGAAGTACAAAATACTGTTGGGGAAGCGTAATCCATTATTTTCCTGTTTTTCAATAGTAAAATGACAAGCATAAGTTATATAACTTAATAGAAGTATTAAATTACACATTATACCTTACTAATGATTTTAAAATTCTCTTAGATATATCTAGTTTTAACTAATTTTAATACTCACAATAAAACTGATGAAAGTGTTCCATTTTTGGTATCCCAGGAACAAAGTTGTAGAGATGAAACTTCAAAGCTTCACTCTTCAACAAGCTATAAGCCATCTCTGTAAGATTGATTCCAACTATTGCATAAGAATACCTATGTCAGAAATATTATCAGTTTTACCAGCTAGCCAAATAGCTCACAAAACAAATTTAAAATTGTGCAAGGAATTAGTAAAAGTTACTCTGATCCATTTCTAACTCAAAAGTATTGATTTTATGATAGTCTCTACATATTAAGAAAAATAAGCCAGAATAGATAAAAGAATTGTGTTTTTTAGAGGCTGTTGATTTTCTGGATATAATCTATGAAGTAAAAATAAAGCTCTAGTCACATGAATATCTAAAAAAAGAATCCTTAAACAAAATTTGAAAGAGTACTACCTGTCATTAATTTCTAAAATACACTGGGTAATCTGACATTTTCTCCTCCATTATTAGGATATTTATTTTTATAATGTAATATTGTTATAATGTTCTTCAGAGGTATCATTGGAATATAAAAATAAAATAATGATAAAGCTAATAATAGAACTTCCATTTACATTTCACTTCACAATTTTCAAAGCTGTCTCATTTTCCTATTCCTATTTCAAAGCTATTTCTTATTCTTATTTTCAAATCTATTTCTGAAAATTTTTTTATAAAGGTCTTTATATCCAACTGACAGATAAACTGTATCATGTGATAAAAATATATGAACTGGTATATGATCACGTTCAGCCTTAAAAATGATGTAAAATATACACAATATCCTTTACAAAGTTCTTAATTAAATTCTCATTTTTTAAATACCTTGAAATACTTTAAAATTGAGATCATCTAATCAACTTAAGTTCAACTACTTACAGTTTCTTTGATATATCCAGCTTACCCTAATTTTGGATGATTTGAGCGGGAAAGAATCTGATGAGCTTCATTGGTATAATTTTCACTGAAATACCTAAAGAAGTTTAGGAAAAATAAAATTAACATGTGTCATTCAAATTGAAGACATCCAGCAGCAATTTAAAAAGTTATTTTCAAAATAAGTCCTACTATTGGCCCAATCACACCATTCTCCTTCTCAAATCACTTCAGTGCCTCTGAAATGCTTTCAGATCAAAATTTAATTTAGAGCTATAACTTATCTAGTACAGGACATAGGCCCTTGATAGACTTTAAAGTATTCTAACAAATAAATGATCTAGCAAGAGACTATCTACCTTTAACAAAAAATCTAGAATTCTTTTAGTTTGTTTGCTGTTTATTGCTGTTATTCTAAATTTTCTAGGAAATAGCCAAGGTGTACCTTTTGGGATGATCTTCTGTCACATAGGTTTATTCTTTCGAAGGTAACTTAAATCTGTATTGTTCAATGTTATTTTCAATGTAATCAGAAGAAACTCAGTAACCTTCCTTTTTTACTAAAAAAAACCTTGATCAGTGCTATAACTAAAATAATGGCCAGAAATATTAGTAGATATAACAGAGAGAAATATATAAAGCTAACTATTTGTAGGCTCATATATCCTATTGGCTTATACTAATACAACCTCTTGAGTTCTTAAATAAATAAATAATGAATTTCCATGGTTTATTTAAATTTTAGAGGGCACAATCATTGAAGTTTTCATAAAGCATAGAAATTTCTAATCAAATCTTCCCTGTTTTTTCTTTTATAGGTGAATACTATAGACTTCCATTTTTCTTCACTGGCTCTAATATTCAACCCATTAAAACAGGGGTTGTTAACTTGGAAGTTCGTGAGTAACGGATCATTCATTAATGAAGGGTATCCATGAGCCACCTTAAATTATGCATAAATTTTTCTGTGTGCACATTTTCTGGGAAGAAAACAAAGCTTTCATCAGATTCTCAAAGGGATCTGTAAATGCAAAAACAGGAAGAAGTCCATTTTCAGTGGAATGTTTTCCTTACATACTCTAATTTTTCTACTTTGTCCCTAGGTTGGCTCTAAGAATACCCTTAGTAAAGTGTTTATATTCGACTTTTTTTACATTACACTAGTCAAGCTACTCTTAAAATGTTCAATCCGTAACACAGAACTTTACATTTCCTTGCTGAACTTATTTAATCTATGTTAACACTATGTAAGAAAACTTAACATCTATGCAATAAGGAAAACTATTCCTTACAATAATCTGCATTGAGTTTCTTCCTTATTTCTTTTCCTTCTTTCCTTCCCTCTCTCCCTTCCTACAGGTATTTCTGGCCTTAACTTACATATTCTACTTTTCTGCTTCCATTTCCTCATCTATTCAGATTTCTTTGGTCTGTCTTGAAGTCATTTTCTGTACAGTATCCTTTCTTCTACACCTCCCTTAGCATTCATTTATCTAAATAAAGCATTGTTATCTATCAAATTACCAGCTATCCTCCAAAGCAACAAAATATCTTGAGATTAGATGACAAAGGGCAAGAAATTTAAAAAAATAAATCACATAGGAGTATCTGACAGTCTTCTTGACTGTATCATTATTTTGATCCTGATGAGTCATAGCTCTAAATACAGGACAAAAATATAATTAGAGAAGAATCAGAGCTAATTTTATGTTTTCAACCATTTCAGGTCTATCACTGGCAATCAAATAATTAATATATGTGAATTTTGGTCCTTTTTCAAATTAGTAGATGCTAGCTTTAAATAGAGTAAAAATATCTGTAAGTCATTTAAAGGTCTATCAGAATCCCTCACCACACTCTTGAATAAAATCCTACTATTTAAGTTTTAAGTTAAATTCTTTTCTGGCAAATGCTGAAAAATCTTGAATTCTGAGGAAAAGAGCCAGAAGCAAGGTTACTCAGAAAAAGTTAAAAAAACACCAGAATAGGGTGTACCTAATTCAGATTCAAGTATCTGTGTAGTCTATAAGTACCAAGAAGGAAGATAGTCTTCAAAGGCTAAGAACAGAAGATCCATGTCTTCTAAAAAATCATAAACTTTTAAAATATTTTATGTTTCCACATCGAAACAAATTACATTTATTCTATTTAAATTCCAAATTTTCTGTTTATCAAGGTGGAAAGCTGGCCATCTCATTTTTTGTAATTTTTTTTTAAGACTACTATGTTTTATCTCTGGGAGGCAGACTTATAGGGAACTTTCTCATAAAATACTCATAAAATTTAGTTATTATAGAAAATACTTTTTTAATTGGAAAAATTATAGATATTGAAACTGTACTGTGTCTTCTATTTTCCCCCAAAATAACCTTATCCATATTGATCTAGATATTTTTTCTCTATATTAACATAAGTTAGCTCAGTTTGAAGACTAATTTTTTCACAGTAACAAATATCCAACTTTGTTGATGATTAGGTTTCCCATTCTAGGCATTTCAGTCTATAAATCATAATTCAAGGACAGACCTAAACAGAATCCCTTCATTTGCATATCTATATCCATATTAATCTTCCAGTTTACTTTCTAGAATAATTTTGGCTATTAATTCTGATTTTATTTCCATATTTGGGGATTTCATTTATGTGCCCAAGCTTAAGTAAAGAAGAAAAAAAAGAGAGTGAGTCCAGACAGGCTCTGAAAAGTTAGGGGCTTAGGTTAACAGATGGCAAAGAATAAGTGTGAAGAGACTTGATTATCATTGTATCTGGTTATATTTCTCAGAATGGAACCACAGAGCCAAGAGAGAAGAGGCAAAGAATAAAAAGAGTAAGAAAAGAGCATACGTGATTCCTTAAGAGGTATAAGAAAGGAGGTGAGAAAGAGAAAGGAAGAGAGAAGTGAAATCACATACACACAAAGTGTATTTCCAATGTCTAATATTGTGGCCAGCACATAAGCAAATACTTTTAGCACTGCAGCTATTAAAATTCTAGTATGAGACAACTTGATCAACTCTTATGAGAATTTAACAATATTGGAGATTACATTTAATTTCATTTAAAGAAGAAAAGAAAGTTTATTTTCACTTACACGAGATTGATTAATCCAAGTATGCCCATGCCTCTGAAATCTGTTTTGGGATCATCACCCTGGAAACCAATGTCAGCCCACTGCTTGGAGATTCTAGCCTTCAACTTTTTCGTGGGCATTAGAAGACTCCAAAGCTGTACAAACATACTTCCATATTACAAATAATAGTAATGTTCTTATTTTACCAAGACATTTTTCCTTCTCATGACTGGTACAGTAAATTGAATGCTTTCAACTAAACAGCTTTTGTAGATAAATCATAGACTGTATTAGAGAACTTTTCAATTATCCTGAAAAGACTGTATTAGAGAACTTTTCAATTATTCTGAAAAATGTAGCATACTTAACCCAAATTTAAAAGACCGACAGAAAGATCTTAAAAAGGTAACAAATATGCAGAAATCTATAATAATGTAGTATCTTTACAAAGTAATTCATATAAACTAGAATTGGTAAACTGTTTCCCTGAGAAGAATAGTGTTAGGTACCTGGCCCTTGCTTCAAACACTATATACTAAAGTAGGGTCTATTCCAATCGTGGGTAATTAATTAGTCCCTAACTAGAAAAACAAAAATAGGGCTGAGATAGGGAGAGGATTATGAAGAAATAAAACTGATAGTATTCCACCCTATATGACCATTGTTTTACAAATTTTCATAGTTCTAAAAGGAAAAATAAATATGAGTCGGTTTTTCCTTCAGACTAAGAATTTAAGAAAGCTATCAAATATTAGATAGCAACAAGGTAATCAATGCAAAATAAAGTTTAAAATATTTAATCATTTTCTAAACTCAATACTGCAAGTCATCAAACAAAACAGACTGACAAGTTGATAAGCAAGTTTGTGAACATTTGCAAAACAGAAATACTTGCATTTTTTCCCATTTGACTACTATTTCAGGCATTGGTGAGTAAAGGACTCCTGGTGAAAGGAGTATCCTTTCACCTAAAATAAAATGTGAAGACTTGTGACCATACTGTAAGACAGGGGCAGAACTCTGGCCCTGAAGCTAAATTCTGTCTTAGACTGGGTTTTATCTGGTTCCTTCTCTTACACTAACACATGTCATTTGCTCACAGTGGTGTGTCTCCATGCGTTCAGCAAGGTTTGGTTATGCCAATAATAAGGCCTCAGTTTCATGGTGAGAGACACAGTAAGACCACTAATACTCAAAATTTAATATGCACAAATATCACATTTCTGGGTTCCACATTTCTGAGTAAAAGTGGAACCCTGGATTCTAAATACTAAACACTGTTTAACATTAGTGAAGGTGGTCCTTAGGCTACACTTCACGAAACATGGGTGAACTTAACTTTGGCCAGAGAGACTGCTGCTTATGTGTAGTCATTGGGTGACTCACTGCCAGCAACTGGCTCTTCACCTCTATAACTGAGTTTCATAATAAATCACCAAGATAAAAATTCCCTTGACTAAAATGCAAGAACTTGTATCGTACCCCTTCAAAATGGTAGGTATTGCATATAGAAAGGGTCTGAGTTGAGGGAATGACAATGCTGATAATATAAATAGCAGTCAAGTCTCAGTGTCAAGCACTATTCTAACACTTCATAAAAATTCAGTCCACACCAACAGCCTTTTGAGGTATATATTTCTATTATCCTAATTTTACAAAATCAAATTTTTTTTTCAGTTTTACAATTAGGTATTGTATATAGGTATTTATAGTTTCCTAAAAAAAAATAAAAGGTTTTGTTGCTTTTAGAATTATCTCTTACTGTTACTTTGACGTCACTGATGTCTCTTTGTACAGCAGTTTTAGTTATAACAAACTCTTAAGGGAAATGTGCTATTTTCCCTAACTTTAACCATTTAAGATTAAAATTAGGATAGGTAGTAGACAGGGAGGAGACTCAGGTCTATTTTAGAATTTACCACTCTAGGACCTAAACCAAATGACTTCACCTCTGCTGGGCCTTAGCATCCTCATGCCTAAAATGAAGGTACTAGACGAAATGATCTGGAAAGCTTATGCCAGGCCTAATATTCTCTAATTTTGGCATCTTACCAGTCTTATGTACTAAGCTTCAGAATAAATAGGAAAATTCTAAGTAAATTTCTTTACTTCCTTAATTCTCAAATCTGTTGTGGCATTATTTGGCAGTTAACACCCCATAAATCCCAAAAGATATGACATAATAATATGTAAAGGGACATTCATGTTTACAATTTGAGAGCTGAAAAAAAGGCCTAACTTACATGAGAAATTTATGTAAAAGTAGCAGAAAAATCTGAAGCTGTGGACTCAAATTTCTCAGTTGAAAAGATCTTCCTTTATGCATTTATAATTCATTTCAGAATTAAAAGCATTAAATTTTTCCAATATATTTTGATGCTTATCAAAAAATTATAAAATAAACATAGTTAACTAAAAATATTTCTCCAACATAAAAAAATTCTCTAAGGGGCAAAGAAATTAGAAAGCTAGATATGCCTTTAGAATTTGTAGACAGATCTTACTAGCTGCAGCCTGATTTATTTTTCCAGAGTTCAATAATTCCAAATACAGAAAACAAAAATTTACCTTGAGAAGCAGCTTTTCATGTTGTAGGTTATCAGAATCATATGGCTTTTTTCTCACATTTTCTACATCCAAATAGAGCTGTTTATAACCAGTTATCTGCAGTAAGCATGCCTTCATGCAGATTTTAAAACTGAAAATAAAATTATCATTTTTAAAAGTCATACCTTATCACAATAAATAATTCCTTCCATAGCTTATAGTTTATGTCTATTTAGAAAGCACTTCCTAGCTTTCAGTTTAATACAATAAGCATCAAGAGCCTCCTTAAATGTAAAACATTTTACAAAGTATTATGTAGGCTATAATAGAACAGGGCCTAGAAAGAGGACAGGAACATGGTAGGAATAGCAAACTTTGTGACTGCAAGGATTTGTCCTCTTCTTCTTTTCATGTTTCCTCTGGGAGATCTCATATATTCTCACATTGTTATTGCCAAATAGTACCAACAGACCTAAATTTCCAAGTATATAGTAACAAAAAGCTCCATGACAGGTGATCTTAGCTCTCTCCAAATCAACAGCTTATCTTCCCTGAAGAAATATGCTCTTTTTCTTAAATCTCTAAATCGATTAATGACATCACTAACCGTGGGTTCCCCAAACTAAAATCCTCTGAGTTCTGACTTTTTTTCCTCCATCAACAATACATTAAAAGATCTTGAGTTCTTACCCTTTCTGTCTCTGAAATGTCCCTCAAAGCAATCATCACATTCCTTTTACCCTGTCCTATTTATGCCTTTGTCATCTCTTGCCTGAATGACTTAGTTTCCTAGCTGTTTTGTCTTTATTCTCTCTACCAAACACCCATATCCCCAAATTTACCTCTATCTTCCTAAACTACATTTTGATAAAGTGGTTTGTTTGCTTAAAAAACCTGGGGGACAACACTTAGAGCCTTCAGTATGGCATGCAAGACTCTGCGATGTATCTCCAATCCCACACTCCAGTCCCCTCTCCAACCACTGCTCTGTACCTATTCAATGCTCCAGCTATAAACGATTCCCTTTTGTTCCCAGAAACTCAAGTACTCTGTGCCCTGCTGGCACTGTTCCTCTGCAAGGAATGTCCTCCCTTACCCATTCACCAAGGTCCAGGTCAAATGTTACCTGTTCTGTGGAATTATCCTCACAGTTCTCTCCTGTTCCCTTCCCTGTTTCAGCCAAAATAATTTGCTCCTTCCTCTATAGAAAATGCTCAATGAAGAAAAAATTGCTAAATACCATCTCAATTACTTGTTCTGGGAACACAAAAATGGAGTAAGCCAAGTCCTTCACATGTGGAACTTAGAATTTACTAGGGGAACCACAAAAGCCAGTCAGTGATCCCAGTTCAGTGGGTCAAATGCCATGATGAGAGCTCTGTGGGAGGAGAGCAAGGGCACCAGAGTCAGAGAAGAGGAGCTGGGGAGCCAGTCCTCAGGGACTGAATTTTGCAGGACAAAGTAATAGCCGAAGTTATTTAATTGTGGGAAAGCAACAGTAAGTTTTTTAAAGGCAGATGGTAAACTGGTGATAATACTGAACTGGGAACCAGAGACACAGGTTTTTTAGTCTTGCTCCTTTCACTTACCTCTCTAGACCACAATTCCTCATCTAGTGAAATTAAAGGGTTAAATCAGAGGCTCTCCACAACCCCTTCAGCTCTAATGTTTTACACCTGTGTGTGACCAACACTGTACAGGTAAAGTGCGCAGTAGAAGAGAATATGGTGGAAACAACATACCTGACATCCTTCTCAGGGCTAATATTCTTTTCCTTCATTATGTCTTCTACACATTTATCCACTTCGCTCTGAACAAGTGTTGCTTTCCGTAAAACCTATTTATATGAAAGAAAGCTGGATGAGAAAAATCCCTGAGCTGAAAAAGAACAGTAAGTTTTGAGGTGTTCAGTCAATTATACAGTGCACATATTAAAAATGCAAAATGAAACCAAATTCAATTCAAATTTTCACTAGGGTTAAATCATAAATAAATAAAAAGGATAAAATAAAATGGAAGCGGCAGGTTAAGGTTTCCTTAACTGAGAATCAACAGGCTTTCAGATGATGAGTGCTGAGCAAATGAGATACCACCACAGTGTGCCCATGAAGCAGATATATTTTATAAAATTTAAAAATTACATAATAAAAATATATGTACAAAAAATGTTGATGTAGAAGTCAAAACTTTTTTAAAAGCAAAAGAGCAAAAAGAAGAAAACTCAAATAATCTTGTAATCCTACCAGCAGAGATTGCCTCTGGTAACAGATTAGCATATATCCATAGTCCTTTTTCTATGCATATAAAACGCATTTCTTTAATAATGTCCTATAAATGTCCACAAGATCATTCAGCAAAGAAGCAAGTTCAGGCCTTTCTTACCCTTAAAAAGTTCCTTGAACTCTTATTCTGTAATCTACCATAAAAATCCTTTCAGTATCCTATATACTCCAGGCAAAATATTCTAATCACACCTAGAGTATGCTTCTGTATCTCCTGGACCTGTCTTCTAGAATGCTCCTTTCCCCAATCTCTAAACAAATCAATCCTTCCCATTTTTAAGATTGCTCAATACCAGGTACAGGAAGCTTTCCCTGATTCTATTCAAGTGGAAGCAACCTCTCCTCTTTGGAATCCTCATCATAATTTATCTGTAATCTTTTAATGGTCTTTACTACTTATTATATTAGTTACTTTTATGTATTAAGTGAAAAATTCTTTGAGGACAGACATTGTATTTAGTTTATCTTTTCATACCTTGTGTATTAAGAGATAACTGATGAAAAACTTGAATACATTTAACAGAAGAAAAACCTTAAGCAAGGCAACTTTTTAGTAAAAGACAAGTGCAGCAATGGATTATTTTAAAGGAGGGAAGGAAGGGAAAGACGGAGGGACAGAGAAAGAGAAGGAAGGGAAGGGAGGAAAGAAAAGGGAGTCTCTCAAAACAAATAAAAAGTGAGAAGGAAAATCATTAATGACTAACAATCAGTAAGGATACAAACATGGCCAACAAGGTCAAATT